TATTCTCTTCTATTGAAACAATGAAGTATCTAGCAATCTTATTAAGAATGTGTCAGCGCATGGCTTCTTTGCTCAGCACTACTTACACTATAATTACTAAATGTAATAAATATACTAAGGAATTTCTGTTTCTGTCACTATCGTTATTGTGATACGTGTAGGAATTCAAAGAAAGAATTCATGGTGAACAGGTGATATGAATAATCATATCATATTTTAGGATGATGCTGGACTCCGTTAGCCATAATACCTTCCTGCCAAACACAGTGATGTGTGACTCCTTGACGTCTTGGTCAGAAGTATTTGGAACAGTGGATGAACAGTATTCACTATTTGATCGTCAGACAGGTGGGCAGACATCTCATATTTTTACTTAAAAATTAATGAACACTGTCATAGTCACAAATGTCTGAGTAAAGAACAAGTAAAGATAATTTTCACTATGTGATACTCCCTGAAGGTGTTTCCAGATTCTTTGCAGAATAAGATTCTTGCTCCCTAATCTTTTTTTGTTTGTTTGTTTACCACTAAATATCTGTCACATTTACAATTCCATTGCCATTTGTGAATATAAGATAGTCTCAGGGTGTACTTAAAATGTTTTAGGCTGATTCAGGAATAGAGAACTTTGTTGGGATCTGCTTTTCAACTTCTCTGACTTGACTCCTTCCTCTAAGGACAGAGAAGAAATTCCTTTAGCTGCCTTTTGAATGAAGACTCTGCTATTCATTAAAGCAGCTGCAGCTCTTAAAACAATGATATCTTTTTTCAAGTGTGCACAGAATCCTAGAGAGAAAAAATCAAGTGTGAAAATCCTAGTCAATGATACATTTAGATTTTTCTCAACAGCAGGATTTCTGGGTTATTCCTTTGTTAACAATATAGAAGAATTGCATGCCTAAATTCAACTCTGTTTTAGGATTTTGGCTTATTAAAGGGAGGGAAAAGTCAAGAATTATGGTTCTAATCCAAGGCTAAACAATATAACCTCTTCAAAAACTAAGTGGTTTAATTAGCTGCTCCAGGTAACAGAAGCGGCCTGGTAGATTTGATCAAGATAAGCATTCTTAATCAGAATCATCAATATGCCTGAGCCAGAAGAAACTTGGTTGTTTAAATAATTTCACCAGGGAATGGAAAGAAAGCTAGCACTTTCAAGCTGTATCCAAAGAAACATTAGTCTAAGTGGAATGAGTCCTGGAGTGAAATCTCACCAGTCTTTTCTGGAAATCTCCTAAATAAAGGTTTCCATCATTTTGATAGGCCTATTAATACAGAACCAGGTATTTTGCATACCTGCCCAGTTATTGCCATGTTCTCATTCACTAAAAAGAACTAGCACAATGCAGTCTGGGTTTTGCATTTCTCTTCCTTTCTTTTTCTGCCTCACAACATTGGCTGCTGATATATAACATGCTTATACTGTGTATGAGGCCTTCTGAGTTGTAGCAAACTTGGTGAAAAGCCTTTTTCTGGCTAATAGCTGTACTTTACCTTTGGTTGATGAGCCAGTGTATGGTTATGTGAAAAGTAGGTGGGCCCATATTAAACCCATCCCCTCAACATCAGAAATGTAACACTTCAAAAACAATAGCCATTTCCACATATGGTAATATGTGCCGGGCTTCTGATGACACTTCCAACATTTATCAGACTTGTTC